TTTGATACTTTTAGGACTATTTCCTTTATTTATAAAATATCTCACTCTGTGCACTTTGTCATTTTTACTAAAACTGTTGCCTACTTCCTGGTGGGTCGTACCTGATCTCAGTGCCCACACATCCACTACTGTGAGTGGAACCCGAAGGATAAATATAAAGTCTGCAGTTAAGTACCATTGGGAAGAAGAGCATTTCTGGATGCTTTTGGCAAAGGCCATTAAGAGGGAGAATCCTAGCTTGACCAAAGCAAAGAGACAGGACTTTAGATGAGGAAGCTTGGATGATTTTGCTGGCTTGCCGGTCATTGTTTATCACATAAAGCCTCTCTTCTCCACCATGGACCTTAAAACCAGCCTGGAAGTTTCTTTTGAAGGAGCTCTTTTCTACTAAGCCCTGGTGCATAATAAGCTCCTCAAATATATACTGAACCAAAAAATTAAAAACAACAAAAAAGAATGATTAAAAAGCCATTTTAGGTTTTTGAAAGAAGAATGATTAGTTAAATATGTTTCTTTAGGAAGATTATTTCATAATAGAGGTTCCCAAAGATTGAAGAGGAAGATTAAAGATGAAGAGGCTATCCTGTAGATAATTGCAATAATCTATGCGAATGGTAATTGTTTCACAAATCCCCTCTTCTAAATGGGGAACAAAGCCTAACAATCAAATTCAACTTCTTGCACATTGCTTTCTCCAGCCATTCCACACTTCCTTGACCTTTTCTCTTTTCTGAATGCGATTACAGCTTCCCCACACTTTATCACTTCCTTTGGATACTGTCATGTTCAGTCCGTCACATTACCTAATTATCTCATGCATTAAATTTATCTCTTCAATTAGCTGTGTGAAGAAGGCCTATGACTTATTTTACTGTTTTATTCCTAATTACACCTATTACAGAGCTGTGTGCAGTGTACATGCCCAATAAATAGATGATGGTATCCTTACTGTGACCCCCATCAAGAAAAAGGAATGTAAATTAGATTTGATTGGATCCTCTCACTTTTTGAAAATCCTGTTTGTCTATTGATTCCAATAGCGATGTCTGTTAAATTCAATAGTGATATTCAAACTTTATTTCACCAAATACATGAATTCAGAAAGATGAAATTCATTTTCAATGAAAAAAATAATATATAATTACATTTGAGAAATCCTGAGAAAAACAAAACAATTTTTATTCCAATATAATTTCTAAGAGCTTTTAATATGTGAATGTGGATTGTGACCTGGGCATTTCAGCAAAAGCAAAATATATTGGAAAAATCTAAATATTTTACTCAAAATAGTTGTCCAAGTCATATACATTCCAGTTTTCTTTACAACATAATTCCATAGACTGGAGTTACCATCTTAGTCTAGGTTCATTAGCACATGAGAATTTTCACAATCCAAACACAACCCATCCTCCTCTCCACCACTCACTAAAAAGTTATGTGTTATTTATTGTTTTCCCTAAGCACACCTTACATTATTTACTTTTTAAATTTTGATTTATTTATCCATTTACTTATCAGACCTCAAATGAAAATAGTTGAATAATTCTTTCTTCTCAAATGGTGGAATGAGAAACACCCTTTTAAAATATATGTTCCTGTGGGTGTGTTTTAATTTAGGTGATACTGTGCCATGAATTTTGTTTAGCATTTTACATTATTTTTCACTTCACAATGTTTTCAAAATTTATACATGTTGATCAAAGTGCATTTATTGTATTATTTCTAAATGTTTCACAATAGCCCTTAGTGTTTATTAAGTGGCTATAATAAATAGATATTCCCCTAGTGTATGTACATCGTGTGTTTAGCATCTTACTTAAAGAATGAATGAGCATAATGAATAACATTGGGCATATTCACTTATGAATCTGCACAAGGGTTTCTCTGTAATTTGTGTCCAAATATGGCATTGTTAAATCATAGGGGAAACGCAATGTATGAAGCTCCTTGTTTTTAACTTGGCTCTGTTTACCTTTCTGAACCTGTCTCATTAGTTTAGAGGGATAGCTTACTGTTGTACACTTGTATTTTTTTTAAATTCAAACTAAGTTTGATTTTGGTTCATATACTTGTGTCTGCTTCTGCAGCAACAGCAGTAATTCCATAGATTTTTTTATGGCTTATTTTTTGTTGTTTTAATTATTTCCTTGTTTAATTTTTACAGGGTGGCAGTAAATTTTTCTTACTCGATAGTGTGGGGAATACTCTTCTCTCCTCAACTCTCTTTTCCTTAGTTTTTGCTTTTCCTTGTATAGTAGCGGGAGTTAGAACTTCTAATATTATCCTGAACCAAAGCAGTGAGTACAGCCTTTCTTTTTTAAAAATCCATCTTAAAGAAATGTGGCTTACAGTTCTCTATTAACTATTTTATTTGCTATAAAATTTGGATAGATTACCCCTTATCAATTTAAAGAAGTTCCCATCTATGTTTTCCTTAGTTTTTTGAGGGTTTTAATCTTATGTAGGTCATAACTCTATCAGACCTTTTTTAATGCATCTATTAAAATGTTCCTATACTATTTTTGTCTTTGAAAGTCAATTAACTATTATATAGTTATGCGCCACATAATGTCATGTTGGTCCATAACAAACCACATATACAACAGTGGCCCCATAAGATTATAATGGAGCTGAAAAATTCCTATGACCTGATGACATCATAGCCATCATAATCTCATAGAACAACTTATTACTTGTGTTGATGCTGGTATAAGCAAACCTACTGTGCTGCCAGCCATATAGAAGTATAACACATACAATTATGTATCATACATAATACTTGATAATGGTAATAAATGACTATGTTACTGGTGTATGTATTTAAAATACTATACACATTAATGTTATTTTAGAGTGTACTCCTTCTACTCGTATTAAAAAAAAGTTAACTGTAAAAACAGCCTCAGGCAGTTTTTATCTCTCATCATCATAATGACCAATTGAATTTTTAACTTTTTCACTGTGGAATAGCTCACTAAATATCCACCTCTTACCAAACTTATGAAGCACTAATGATCTTGATGCACTGTTCTTATTGCAATTTGAAAGCGCTAAAATGTATACGTATAAAAACATAGTGCCATAATGTAAAAAGCAAAAAAATCCATGTCAAGCTACTGCAGAAGACTGGAAGCTCTCAAAGAGAGGGATTGAATCTTATCGTCTTTGACCAAGCCCCACAACATCTAGCACAGGACTTATATAATAAGTGCATAACAAATTAGGTGCATCTTTTTAAATTAGCTTTTTATATAAATATTTTTTACACTTTTTTGTATGAGGCTTTTCTCTCCAGACTGATATATCACTTCAATTCTATGCACCTAGCATTTACTAAGTGCCAAACTCCTCAACTTCCAGTGAACCAGATAAACTTTATCAGAAAGTGGCAATAAACAAACAAAAAAGATCTGTTTGAAGGTGTTTCTCCTGATATTTTTTATCATATCTAAACCACAAAGAGCAAATGTTTCTTCCCTTTAGAATTAGTATTCAGTTGAAAAGGAAAAGCCATGCCTCAGGAATGCTTCCTGGACAATGTATTATGCTTATATATAAAGCTACATGTTCTTTTTTCCTACTTTTAAGTAAACATAGATAAATGTTTTGAGATATAATTTGCTCATTTCTACTGAGAAATGTTTTTAGTGAGTGAATCCATCGTACTCTAGCCAAAAATGAACTAAGGAAAGTATAGCCTATATTTTACTTTTTTATTTCTAGAAAGCTAAAAAATATAAAATTTTTAATCTGACCAGACCTTTTCTTCCTGAGACTAATCATGTGTCTTGTGACCTTTATTGACTCAGGTATTGATCCATAGAAGAATCAAAGTGTCAGAATGTTTTCTATATGGTCCCTGTGATGGTTAATTTTATATAACTTGACTAGGTAGGTCACAAGGTGCCCAGATTAAACACTTCTGGTTATGTTGGGGAGGATGTTTCCAGATGAGTGTAGCATTTAAATCAGTGGGTTTAATAAAGTAGATTGCTTTCCCCAGTGTAGGTGGGCACCATCTAATCCACTGAGAGCCTGAAGAGGAAGAAATTGTTCCCTCTTTTCTTCTGCCTTACAGTTTGAACTGGAATATCTCATCTCATTCTCTCTTGCCCTCAAGCTTGGATTTACACCATTGTCTCCTCTGGTTCTCAAGCCTTTAGACTCAGACTGAACTACACCAATGGCTATCCTGGATTTCCAGCGTGCAGACAGCACATTGTGTGGCATCTCAGCCTCCATAATTTCATGAGCCAATTTCTCATTATCAGTTTCTCTCTCTGTCTCTCTCTCTATCTTTCCTCCCCTTTGGTCAGCCCTTTGTATCCGTGAGTTCTGCACCTGTGGATTCAATCAACTGTGGAAATGATTTGTGTTATTATTTTCTATGTGGATCATTAGAGAAGTCAGGATATCAGCTTGTGATAATCCAATTCACTTCAAGTCTTTCCAGTTTTTGTAAATGGCCCCACCAACCACATAGTTGTTCAAGGCAAAAATTCTAGGAGTTATCTTTAAATTCCATCTTTTCTTTATTTTACACATACAATTTAACCAACATCACTACACATTATATATTCAAAATATATCTGGATTCTATCTGTTTCTTCCATCTCTATTTTCACTGTGCAGCAAAGATAATCTCTTCCTTGTGCTTTGGCAACAGCTTCCTATCTGGTTTTCCAGCTCTCATTCTTGTTTCTTACCATTTTATTTCCTTAGAGAAACCAGAGTAATATTTTTAAAAGTATACATCAGATATCATTCCCCTGTTTTTGGCTCCCATCAATTCCCACCCCTACCCCCACCCCCCACCACTTTTCACTTAAAGTAAAGCTGAGCTTCTTATACTAGTTGGCAATGACCTGGATCACCCTGTCCACTCTAAGTAAAACATTTGATTTCCCATCCCTCTATTTTATGTTCTGTAATATCACTTTTTTCCTTATTTCTACTCATTCTTTTTTTTTTTTTTTGCACACTACAGGGTCTTTAAAGAAACAGACCACTCCTGTCCTATACACTGTTATATTCCTAGCACCTAAATTAATAGAAAATCCTCAGTACATATTTGCTAAATAAGTAAGGGTGCTGAAAATTTTGTGACATGTAGAATTTCATATGGTGAGATGCACTAGCAGTGGAGTTCATTGAGAGGTCCCCCACCTCAAAATCGCTATTCTTTCTCAGGCAGCTGGATTTAGTCTGGCCGTATCCTCTAATATTCTAAGTTTAACAGTATACTGCCTCCAGCACTCATGCTAACACAGCCTCCAGCAGGATACTGTGTCTTGGCAGGCTTAGATATTCTTTCTCTGTGTTCTCAAAACACTGTGTGCTTAGGGCTTCCACAGCATAGCCATATCTAATGTTTAATCATTTACTTACTTCTACAATTGTCCAGTTTGGTTCCACATCTTGAGAGGCAAGAAAAGCATGTTACTCATATCTTTTCACTCTCACTAGCATAGAATCTAAAACACATTATAGGGGGAAAAAAAGCTTTTATTATAAAGTTCTTAAAGGTTTTTTTTTTTTTTTTAGTTTATTTGCAATATTGTTATTTATAGCTCTAACATCGATCCTAAATCATCCATTCACATACTCAACAATCAGACTTGACAAATATGGAACAGCTCTCAAACTTTAGATTTTGAATTAAAGAAAACCTAGAAAAGTATTAGACAAAGTTATAGTCAAGGCAAAACATACATTGGAAAGGGGAAGCGATCCCAATGACTCCTAAATTGCTGTGTTCAGTCTTAGAACATAGTTGTTGAAGTCTTGCTCATATTTATGAGAAATCATAGAATGGCCCTGGAGATCTTTGTATGTACAAAAGAAATCTGAAGAAATTAAAATTTGCCTTTAGTGACCTCTCATTTCCTTTTGTGGTCCTGGCCTCTGAGTTCATTGAAGCCATTGTTTTCCACAGTCTTTCTCTTCAGACAGCATCTTGTGATATTTCTCCTAGCAACCCTCTTCCGTAATCTGTGGATAATAATAGAGATATCTATTATCTATTAGTAAAGACACTGCAAGACATAATACTTGCATTCAAGGTATGAATCAGATGGTGGCAAATAATTCAAATTGGGGGTAAAGTACCCACAGGCACCAATTTACCCAATAAATATTCTTGAGACCTAGATGAAACGTCCATAAATAAATAAATAAAGCAGGTGGAAGATACATATGAAAACACTTACAACTTCACAACCCAGGAAAAGACCCAGAAGACGAGAAATTGATTCTTGTCCCTCTCTTGTCCCTCTTGTTGAATATGTAACTTAATCCTGGAAAATTCTTTATGAAGTCTCTGAAACTCATTTTTATCACAGAGAAAACATGCCACAATTTAGGCAAACCTAGAGTGTCTATGAACACCCAATTTCTGGATCTAAGTGTCCAAAAATGTGTTGCTCATCCTAAAATGTGGTGCTTTTAATAATTTTCCCTCTTTGTTTTTGGCTGTGATTTCTGTTGCTCTTTCTTCAGTTACCATCTTTTTTTGAAAACTTCTCCATCAAGCCTTCTTGAGTCTTCTTATTTGGAGACACTTTCTTCCTCCTCAGTACTTCCATTGCGCCATATAGAACTTTCTAGTTCTTATCATTACAAGCCTCACAATATAATTATAGAGAGGATTGTTTAGTTTAATGTTAAAGTGGATTTAATGACAGTACTGACCTAAGTTTAAACCCAGACTCAAATGCTATTTAACTGTAGGCAAAGAATGTTTCAATGATTAGTTTACATGAAGTTGATTAGCTCCAATTTACAAATGGACAAAATAAGCTTGAAGAGGCCATCATTTTTAATCTTTTCATATCAACTATGTAGCTAATTTTTGCATTGGAAGTTGCTCAATAACTATAGTATACAAAATTCTTGTCTCTTAGAACATCAAGTCAGGAAGACTTTTACTTGCATATTCCCATAATGCTAGGACTGTGTCCAGAATGCTAGGACTAGGATATCTTAAACATTACCATGTAATCCATAAATGAGTGTTGCCTAAGAAGAAAATAATGAAAATATTTTAATTATTTGAAAACAAAAATAAATACCTACTTTAAGGATAGTGAAGACATTGTCTTCTACAGTCATCGTCAATAGCAATAACTACAATGTCAGACAATATATTTGACATTGGCCAACTGAGTAATGTTGCAAAGAAAATTTGTAGAGCAAATATAACAATATGAGAATTGAAGAAAAATAAAAATATGCAGTAAAGCATTTCCTGCAAAATATATTCTATGATTATTTTCTCCACAAAAATACAATAATATTAAAATACCTAAATCCAACTTCATAACATGATTGGTTTGATTATAATCCCAAGTATTATGAGTCATTATTTTGTTTACAAGTAAAAGCCTGCATTTAAAGCCTTTTACTCTCAATCCAATTTATTTCAAATTTGAGGTTAGATTCGGGAAAACAAAGCATCAACATTCTAGGTTTTTGGTATTGGGTGAGACCGAGACAAGTCTCTGCATGAGACTTAGAAATCTCCTAGGAGCAGATGGATTCCACACTGAGATTCAACAGAGTTCTGGGCTATGCTGTATTTTGGAGAAGGAAAAGCGGGTGCTGAGAGCTAAGTAGCCTATTACGCTTTATAGCCACATAAGGACTGGAGGCAAGTAGGCCCTTCCAACAAGTTGTATTATGCGATCAGTGACTTTGCGGGGACTCTCACAAATGTATGACCTTCTGATTGCCTTTTTGATTGAAAGTTCCATCTGAGATCAGGGCAGTGCAACCAGTAATAAGATTTCAAAAAATCCCATCACTGGCACTGTCGGAAAGGCTGAGCATGACTGAAATCCATCACTGTCAGTCAAAAAGATAAGGAAACAGTGGGTATCACTATAAAAGCTCTATAAATGAACAATTTAAACATGAATATCAGCTATATATGTGTGTATATATATATATATATATACACACATATATAGCTGATATTCATGTTTAAATTGTTCATTTATAGAGCTTTTATAGTGATACCCACTGTTTCCTTATCTTTTTGACTGACAGTGATGGATTTCAGTCATGCTCAGCCTTTCCGACAGTGCCAGTGATGGGATTTTTTGAAATCTTATTACTGGTTGCACTGCCCTGATCTCAGATGGAACTTTCAATCAAAAAGGCAATCAGAAGGTCATACATTTGTGAGAGTCCCCGCAAAGTCACTGATCGCATAATACAACTTGTTGGAAGGGCCTACTTGCCTCCAGTCCTTATGTGGCTATAAAGCGTAATAGGCTACTTAGCTCTCAGCACCCGCTTTTCCTTCTCCAAAATACAGCATAGCCCAGAACTCTGTTGAATCTCAGTGTGGAATCCATCTGCTCCTAGGAGATTTCTAAGTCTCATGCAGAGACTTGTCTTACTTTAAGCATCTGATTAAGCAAACTCTCCCAAAGACACACTTGTCTCCTTCTAAGCATTCTTGCTTCACTGGTGATGCCAGTGAATCTAAGTTATCTTTTATTTTATATATAAACATATGCTTACCCACACATTTTTATTCCAAAACATTTTCTCAGTAAAGTTCTTAAAAATTCTGTGCTGCAAAGTTCATGTGTGAATTTAATTTGTAGCATATTTTAATCACCCAGTAATAAACTATTTTTTTTTTTTTTTTTTGTCCTTTTTGAGACCGGCCACACCGTGCTCAGCCAGTGAGCGCTGTGAGTGCACCGGTCATCCCTATATAGGATCCGAACCCGCGGCGGGAGCACTGCTGCGCTTCCCAGCGCCGCACTCTCCTGAGTGCGCCCCGGGCTCGGCCCATAAACTATTTTTTAAATTATAATAATTGCACATATAAAAATTATTGTAAGGAATAACCTCCTTACACTTTGTAATATATATATGTTTAAGAGACATTTTTGTTATTTGATTGGTCAAATAGTAGACAGGCTAGAGGCTGAATTTATCCCATATGATATTCAACCACCCAGGGATGCATTGGACCTCCATTCCTCAGAAAGGAACCTTGAATCGTGAGGTAGGCAGAGAAAGGTAATTATATTGGTTCCAACTTAACTGTTTTTCTGCATTAGTCATAGAACCCTTAGACAGGGATAGGTTTTAAGGATAGAAAAAGACTAATGTTTGGGGCACATAAAGATCCACAGACACATTAAAATGCCTGAGGACTGAATAAGCATTTTATCTGAAAAATAACCACACATGTATATGTAAGACATATGTTGATATTGTTGCAACAGAAAACAATGCACAGAGATAAAAATAGTTATTTTAATAAAGTTAAAAATGTATTATTTAAGGAGTTGAGTCTGGGTACTTAATTCCTAAAAAAAGGACAGAAACCCCGTTGACCTCTTTTGCTTACAAAATCCAGGCAAGTCTACAGTTAATGTTAAGTCAAATTGTGTGTGTGTGTGTGTGTGTGTGTGTGTGTGTGCGGGGGGTGGGGTGTATATGTATTCCTTGGATCATTATTTAAATTCAGGGTTCTCTAAAATCATAGTTCAGTCCTATTAGGAACAAGATATTACTCACTTGATCCCATACTACAAAACCTGAAATGGGCTCTTCAGCACAAAATGCTTGCATGGTGGAAGCAAAGAAAATCAGAAAGAGATACATGCTTTCATTTTCTCTTCCTGTGCAAAAGGTATCTCGAGGCAAGATCTGTGCAACCAGACATTATTTCCTGCCCACAAAAAACACCATTTGAAGATTATCCTATGGATCACCAACACTGGAGGATATAGATTTTATATTCCTGAAAAAAATAGTATAATTTTACTATTAGACACGTTTGTGTGTCTGTAATTTATGGCATATCATTGGCAAAGAACACTAGAAAATGGTTTAGAATGTGTAAGGTAATTGGAATATTACTATTGATTATTACTACAACTACTAATAATAATTTGCATCCGTCAAGTACTTGTTTTAAACATTGTACCACATGTCCTGGTGTATTTAAAAGTCACATTAGACCATCCCTTTGACAAGAAAAAGTGTTCAATAGACATAGTAATAAGCATAAAAGATGAACTACTCTCAGGCAACAGGAACTCAATAAAGAGTTGATTAAGCCACTAGAGTGTTATAAATTCTTAGTAGAATATTCAAACATTTTGCTTCTGTCACAGTGAAAGCAGCCTCCAGAAGTCGCTGCCTTCAGTTTTCAAGCCAAAGCCATGCTCTTCTTAGGCAGCCCCAAGCCAAAGCCTAAGATGCCAGGAGACCAAAGCCTGACTATTTTTGCCCAATGAGGTACTGGTCTAATGGACAATCTGACTCCAGAACTCCCTATTGTGTTGGCAGAAAGTTTGCCAGGTCTGCATTGCAGTTTAAGTCTCTCTTGCCAAATCCTGCTTCCTGTTCTTTTTATTTTTACAAGTTTCAGAGCTGCAAACTTGTCTGAAAATTTTCCCTGCCCAATGAGTCTGCTTTCGGAAGGACCCAAATGACAAAGTTGGAGTAGCCTTTAGGTACTCCATATTCTTTTTGTGTCCCTGCAGACATCTTGCTGTGTGATCACTGGCAAGCCATTTCTCTTCTCTGGCTCTTATTATATAATAAAGACTCATGCAAACAAAAGCAATCTTTGGGATGATTTGGTTGAACATTTTAGAATTTTAGTTAAAGCTGATGATTCTGTTAGTAGGTCTTTATCTGACTGGGAAAAAAGAATTGATGACAACAAAAGTATTTATAAAAATATATTTCACAAAGTAGGAAACAATACAGGAGTTTCTCTGAGTACAATACATGGAGTAAATAAACAATATTGCATTAAAGCAAAGTAGAAAATTAAAATGATCTGCATGTAATACTTGAGTTTTATCATACATTTTCTACTCTTAAATGGCAGGTTTGCATTACAAATTAAATATGTTCACATCTTCAAGTGCTGTTCTTTTTTGGAGTCTAAGACATTCTGTGCATCACCATGAGGATCAGGGAGAGAAGTGCTAAAAACATAAGCAGTAAAATTATGTACAAATCAGTTCCTGCTCTAAAACAGTAGGGGCAACTTGAAGCATGTTTATTGGGCAGGGTATTATATAGGTATCTAAAAGTCTAGAGTTTAAATATTCACAGGAATCAATATACTTTCAACTGTTTGTGCTTGTAGTAAAAACACCAAATACTAGGATTATGAACAAAATAGAAAACAGTCCAAAAGTTTCTCTGGGAAAATGCTGTTCCTGCCATCACCAGTCACAATAACACTTTCTACTCTAAAGAGACTATTAGGTCTCCTTTTGATAATATTGCCTGCCATACTCATCTCATCAAAATGTACATGTATTAAACATTCATTTGTATATATATTTATATAAAACAATCTAAAGGATTATTAATGGATATAATTTAGTTTTTTCCATATAGTCCCTTAATCTATAGATTACCAACCTTAATAAATAAAAGCATTAATGGACATCAATAAAATATTTATTTCAAGGATTAAACAAATAAGTTCACACGCTAGCAATAAAACCTTCTGTCTCTTATATAGTCCACGGTGTGATACAGTTTATCTTTGTGTCCTTGTGGAAGAAGATGAAGTGGAGGGAACGAGGAATCCTGCTTATAGAAAACAATCCTGTTTGAATGGGATTTCTCTCCTCCCACCACTGAATTGGCAGTCCCCACCCTGGAATGGATTACGAACATGTGATTATTTTAAGGCTCGACACAATATTTAAAGATGCTATTCAGTCTCTGGTAAGTGGGGCCAACGATTATGTACAATGTGTGGTCACTGTACCATATAATCTAAGGGGCCTCCCAAAATTCCAAAAAGTCATAATGTACAGCAGACCAAGTATTGCTTTATCATTTGTGGCGGGATCCTTATTGATGAAGGGGAAAAAACCACTTGCATTCATAAAAATCCTTGCAGACGACACATATCAGCAGTAAATTCTTTGTAGGTCCATATTTCTAAGAAAGCACCTTTTAATATTGATTTTTTCCTCTTTTTAAACTATTTCTCTAAACATTAGTCAGGATCCCAATCTTTGTGGTGGTCAGATAAATATCAAATATCCAAAAACTTCTAGACACTCCACATACTTAATTCACACTCCACAAGATTTATAACCTCCTAACATATATTTTTATTTTTATAACTTTTTTTGGTTCAACATTAAAATGTGGTTGAGTCCATAGATGATTGGTGCTAAACTCGCCTCTAAAACAAATAGCCACATTGGTTGTGTCTAAGGGGAGTGACCTTAGAATATTACAGAATGCTCAGTTCCGTTTATTTATTTATAATCCACTGTCAAGTTTCTTTGTCACTTTCACCAACAGAGTAGAGTTCGCCCAGTCTCTTAAAGCGGGGACCCCAGTCACTGAGGTAGTCAAAATTCTGGTCTGAGTCTGATGTGGTGGACTCCAAGGAGCTGAGGGAGCCAGCCACGGACCCTCGGCCTTCATAGCCATAAATCTGAATGGAGTCATAAGGTGGAGCCGTGGGGTCATTATCTGCCTCATGCAGCCTTACATTTATAAATTCATCGACATCAACACCATTCGGAACTGGAGCAAGCCCTTGCCTTGGCATAAACTGCAAATCTGGTTTAATATCCTTACGGGGTAAAAATCCATTAATTCCATCTGGGTTTTGTAAAGTTGCAATGTCAAAAGCCTCTGTGTCCTCTTCTCCACCTCCTTCGTCATCGTAGCGAATAATGTTTTCTCGAACGTCTTCATCATCTTTGATAATTAATGGCTCATTTTTATGTCGCCGGAGAGTTACAAACAGCACCACAATGACTGTAGGGAAAATATTAAACAACAAAGAGCTAAATTAGCCTATCATTTCACAAGCATGACACTACATATGTTAACTGAGAGAGGCATTTTAAAAAGTTATGAGCATTCAGCTTTAGTAACATTTGCCAGGAAATTAAGCCGAACACCTTTCTGAAGGATGAGGATGGAATTTTCAGAAAATACTATTCCAGATTATTTGTTTATTAAATGGTGTTGGAGCTGGGGTAAAAGAACAGGTTTGAACCTGTTCATGGTAAAAGCTGTATTTCATACTCTCATGAACTCTAGAGTAAATGGCACAAAATAGTGCAGACAGATGGCCAACTTGCTCTGTGTCTTGGTCAAGTTGTTTTATAATATTTAGTTTCAAGTCTCCCTTCTATAAAGAAAAAGGAGCAAACTAGATCATATCTAGTGTACTTTGTGTTTTAACATTTCTTCAAGACACTCTCCAGTCAAATAATGTTCTTTCATGGAAGAAGTGAATGTAGAAGTTGCATAGGCAACTTCTTGTCTTGTACGAAGGCTGGAACTACTCTTTCTGAAAAGGCAGCCCTAAAGTGGAGAAAGAGAAAGAAACACATACCCAAGTAGTCAGATCAGCCAAATCAAACTTGGGTTGGCTAGTGGAGTAAAACATGGTGGCAAAATGATGCTTAAATCTAGGGAACTGGGTAAACAAGACTGATATAACTGGGAAGATGGTAACTGGCACTATTTTTACACTAAGGTGTTTATTCTTCAAGGGTAGGATAAGATATAACTGTCCTTTTTCATGTTTTCTTATTGTTTAATCTCACTTTTATAATTAGATGTTTTTAATGGAAAAGATATAGAAGCTTTCTGTTAATTGACAATCTTTATTTTAAATTGATGCTTATATCAAGAATAATATCTCAGAAACTGAATATGATGTTCTTTTGAAGGAAAGATTTTTTTTGTTGTTTGTTTTCTTTTCATTTCACCAAACTTTGTGATCAGATGGACTCAGAAACCTAATCTATATATTGTTTCGATAAAGCAGTATTGTGGACACGTGAAAGCCCTCTATTGCAGTGAACTGGTTTGCACCAGAAGATCTGGAGATCTTATATGATAGATGCTGTTGTCACCACATAAAAGCTCATCTCCACTTCCACCACCATTGTGCTTTGTCCATCTTTTTTCACTAGTGATGAGATTGAAAAAGGCTCTGAAAGTCCTCTCCAATTGGACATTTGCCATCACAACACTTTTTCTCTTTACCTTCTCTTAGTCACCTCAAATCAGGAAGAGAAAAAAAAAAGTAAGTTCCTCTTCTCCAAAAAAAAAAAAATGCTGATGCCTGTCTAGGTCAGAGTTTGCTGTCCTTATTTACAGTCATTTATGAACCAGAAAAATGGTGACCATTAGGCTATGAAGGAAATACGTACCTAGCAGCAAAATGATGCATGCTAATATGGCAATTAAGGCGCCCATACTGAGTCCAATCGGAAGGACATAAGCTTCAACATTACAAGACTGGACAACACCATCATTGCTGCAGCCACAGACCCGGATGGTCAGGGTGCTGGTGCTGCTCAGTGGGGGATTCCCACTATCACTGATTATGATTGGTAAAAGATAGACTTCTTGCTTCTGGCGGTTGAATCCATTATGCTTTGCCAAAATGCTGAGGGAATTATCTGGAAAAAGTGAAAATTACAATAATTTGCATCATTTCAAAATAGCTGCTCAAACAACACTTGTTTTTCTAGTTCATAAATCCTCTGCAAACCTTAAGAAAATCCCAACTCTACTGGACCACTCAGGCATTTTGCCCCTCCCCTCTTACCACTTTTCCAATTGGCATAGACCAAAACATTCATGTAATAGGGTGAATGAATGGGGCCCCATGATGAACTGATGAAGTTTTACCATCACTTTATAAATACAAAAGATTTCCTTTATAAAAAATAATCTCCAAGTGTCCTTTCTGAAGACAAACATTATCCCAAGTCTCCATAAATCCATAAGTAAGTTTAATTTTCTTTTGTTTGGCCTTATCAGTCAACCATTAAGCAAGGTCAACTGGATAGAATTTCACCATATTTGAAAGGCATGTTTGATAAGCTCTGTATTAAAATATAGACTGTATGACATATGACATACAAAACAATGCACTTTGTTGACTCCTACAAGTACCTAAGAGTCAGTCATGCCCTAGAACATTTATACTAAGATATAGAAAAGGCCTATTTACTGCCAATTCGAGGAGAAATGCAGCGTATCTTAAAATTCTGTAGAGAAGACCTATAGTGGTTACACAAGTAAGCAAAAAATGAGAAGTCATAAGAGTAGGGGCTCCATTTTGCATGTGTAAGTTACTTATATGGAGATATGTATTGGTTATCTGGAGCAATACTTAAAGTTATACTTTAACTTGAAGTGAAACGGGTCAGTGAGAAGTGATTGGTCCCATGTTAGTCTTATGCTTCTCAAAATTTTATCCCCAAGATGAATTTTGTCATTCACCCCAATCTCATGAACCACAGTCACATTGTATATATTGTTAATCTATTTTCTCATTTTGATTAATGAAAGACATATACATACCTAACCAAAATGAAAACAGCAATTATCTCACACAGATATTCCAGCCAAAAGCAAATAAACACTATTTTGGTTACTGTGTGCAGTGTTATTTGGGCAAAATGGTTATTTCAGTTTAAAAAAAATTTTTTTTTAAATTGGTAAATTTACAGACCTCAGAACACTGGGCTATTTTTTATTTCTTATTAAAGCAGTGAATCCAAACCATCACTGTCCAGTTTTGGGTCATCTATGTCCAGATGGCTTTGCAAATAAATAGGTGGACAGATATTCCATTCAACTAATTTAAAGTGAATATGTAAATCTTTTGTGCCATACGATACTGTATTATGATTTCTAAAAATATGATAGCCCTTTTCCGAAATAGGTGTAAGAATATATTTATCATTTCTTTGTTTAAGATATTAATGGACCTATAGTCTCTTGCTGGTAAGCAGTTAAACCAAAAAAGCAGCGAGTTGATATTTTTTTTTTTCTAAATTTCTTCTGGTTGTGGCTCATTCTATAGCATCAAAAAGGTTTCTAATGGAATTAAGCAGTCATACACCAAATGATCCAGTAATTTTTATTTCCATGCCTTAGAAGGAATTTACCAGCAAGCTAAATGCAAGGGAATATTATCTCGAAGCAGACGCAAAATATATAGTTGTGTTATATTTTCAGGAAGTGTGTGACAAGTTTGAGTACAGTTAATTAGTGCAAGAAGCATTTGTGAATGATTTCATATACCATAGTTCAAAACAGAAGTTGGGAATTGTTCTTCAAGATATAATTAATAAAATTGCAATGAGGCTTTTGTCTTTTTGTGGTTGACATTATTTATATGAGAAACTATCTTTGCATATTTTCTCTTTAAAATAGTCTGTTATGATAATTTAGAAACTGCAGAAGGAATAATGCTTGATGCAGAACAAAGTTATCTTTATTACTTAGAAAAGCATCAGTGGATCTAACAAAAAATTCATACTCATATTTTTTTACTAATCCTGGAATATACATATGTTGTTTCTCGTTCTACACGCAGAAAAATGTTGTTTGGGTAAAGGAAGCATATGAGTCATTCTTGTTAAATTTTGCCTGCCAGCCCCAGGCAACTCCTTGTATGTGTACTCATCTTTTTCATTTTTTATAACATTTTTGATAGGTGTTTGCATCTATTATCAATTCACTGGAATTATTTTATTAGGCCAAATGAAATTGTCATTATTGTACACATCAAATCCATAGAATATCAGCAGTTTCACACAGTTCAAATTAATGTTTTTGCAAGAAATTTTTTAGTCTTACATGTTGCAAATATTTTCTACAAAGTTGTGTTTTATTCCTTAAGACATACATTGCCTTTTCATTTTATTAAAATTTTATCAGTTTTATCAATTTTATCAATCTCTTTTATGATTAGTGTTATTGTCTTATTTAAAAATAATTATGGGCTGGCCCGGTGGCGTACTGCTACAGTGCGCCGCTTGGGAGCGCGGCGGCGCTCCTGCCGAGGGTTCAGATCCCACATGCAGACCAGCTCCCGCTCACTGGTTGAGCGAGGGGCGGGTGCAGCACCGAGGGTTGCGATCCTGTTGCCGGTCCCGGTCCGGTACGGGCGCGACACTGAGGGTTGCGGTCCGTTGCCGGACACGAAAAAAGACAAAAAGGAAAAAAATAATAATAATAATTATAAAAATATTTTCCATAATATTATTTTGTCATTTAGGTTACTATGTGAAATTGATCTTTTCCTATACCGATAATTGATTTTCTAAAGGTTAATTATGGAATAACCTGTCCCTTAACCACTGGTCTTCAATGCTCGGTCCCTCACAAATTAAATTTTTGTGTTTCCTCATCCTTTTACTCTGTTTTTTGGGTTTTTTTTTTTTAACCTGAAAATACCATGCTTTTTATGTATAAGAACTTTGTTAGGATATTTTCCTCTGTCATCTTTACCAGTATCTTGTCTTTTCTTGCTCATTTGCTATTCTCTGACAAGTATAGAATCCTATTATTAAGTTTCTTGAAAATTTCCTTAAGAATTTTGGTAGAATATATTAAAATATAAACCAATCTTGAGAGAATTACATCTTTATAATCATTAGTCTTTTGTATCAAGTTCATGGTTTATTTTCCTTAATATATGTCAATAAAATATTGGTATTTTAGCTACAAGAGATTTTCATATCTTTTGTTAGATTTATTGTTGGTATCATACTTGTATATTTGGTTGCTATAGTAAACCTTTTTAAAAGTAATGTACTTTTTAAAGTTATGTTTTTAACTCATTGCTGATGGTGTATAAAATGAAATTGTTTTATACATTGATTTTAATTCCAGCAAGCCTCTAAGACTTTTTTTACTTATAAGAATATATCTCATCAGAGAATTTTCCTTCAGCATAATCGCATGAGGAACTCCACAGACATGCTTCCCAGTGAAAGTGTTGACCATTATTAAAGGAAAAACATTTAAAGTCTCTAGAAATGGTTCTGGAGGCAAGCAGCAAATGAAGAAACATTTATTCAAGAAAATCTGCAAGAGAGATTGTAAGCATGGTGAGACTCTGTGGTGTGTGAACCAGGACTCACTCCTGCCCTTAATTCTCCCAGTTCAGTGAGATGGAAACTCCACTCCAAAGTGGTTCAGCCAAGAACCCAGGGCTTCTTCGACCCACAGCTAGCAGGTGGGGGACTATTTGTCTGGGTAGAGACAGAACATCAAAAATTATCTTTCTGCTCCTTGTTACCTATTGTTGATGCTAAGTTCTAGATTAGTGTGGTCAAGAGGTCGTGGCTTTTTTTTCTCCTCATAGCCCCCACTCACAGGACAGAGGCTCTGCCTGGGCACTGCTCTGTTTGGAATATGTAGCTTCAACAGCCCTTGTCTCAGCCCATTTTTACATTCAAAGAGGCCAGCCAAATATAATTGAAGGTACTGTCCCCCAGCATCACATGCTCTGTCTCAAAGTGGAGGTGTCACTCAGAGAAACATGCCATAAGCTACAGCCCAACTCTGGAGCCAGTAGCTCACAGATTTTGCCTGTGGGGGAAAGCAGAGAACCTGGGAAGGAGAGAGCCTTTGGGAGTTGCCCACATGGGTCAGAACAAATGTGAAACACTGATGTACAGAACTACTCTTTCAAAGAAGACCAAATTTTATTGGATTTGTAGTTTAGGTCCCAGGGTAGTGTTGAAAACACTACAGAAATCACGTGGAAATTAGTGGAGCTTGACATCCAGGTGTGGTCAGAGAAAGTGGTGGTCAAGGAGAGTTCTGCTAAAACCATGGTTATTCCAGGGTGATTGTAGGCATAGCCCAGGCTTTGATCCCCTGAGGTGAAGCATCAGAAGCTTAACACTGCAGATAGGAGAAAAGACTTCACTAAAATAACCTCGCCAGTCACTGAACAAGTAACAAGCAAATAACAATAACAAGCCCTGGAAGGGGGTAGTACCCAGCATTTATATAATACAAAAGGTCTTCAAAATTTCATGGAAAGATTCTCTTTTAATTATATTTTTACACTAACTTTTTGAAGTAACTACATATATTACTTAAAATGTCCAGTTTAAAACAAATTATTATGAGACCTGCAAAGAAACAGGAAAGCATAACCCACAGGAAAGGAAAACGAAAATAGCAAAAGAAACTGCCCATGAAAATGACAATGAAAAATTAACTAGAGTAGTTAAACAGTAGCCTTGAATTGGAAGAAGAAAGGATTACTGAACTTGAAGATAGAGCAATAGAGAATATGCAAGCTGAAGAACACAGAGAAAAAAATAAAATAAAATGAACAGAGTCTCATAAAAATGTGGGACACCACTAAGTGCACAAACAGATGTGCAATAAGTACACTAGATGAAGGGAGAAAGAAAGGAGCAGAAAAAAATATAGTTAAAAACTTCATAGATTTTTGAAAATCATTAGTCTGTACATCCAGAATGCTAAACAAACTCCAAGTTAAACACATACAAACAAAATCACAAATAGACACATCACATAGTAAAAATGCTGAAAGACAAAGACTAAAAGAAAATCTTGAAAGCAAGAGAAAATTTTGACTTATTTCTTCCAAGGGAATTTTGATAAGATTAACAGCTGA